CCCCCACCGCCTAACTCAACCCCTCCTCAGACCCCCCTGCCCCCTCCTCCGTTGCCAGACTCCCCGCCGCCACACACCCCTCCGCTTCCTCCACTGACACCCTGCACACCTCCACCAGCCACCTCCCCGCCTCCCGTCTACTGATTATGCACACCCGTGATACAAACATAAAGACATGATTGAAGGACACAAGGGACAGTAGGCTACAAGACAGGATAGAATGTTCAGTAGGCTACAAGACGGGATAGAATGGTTCGGCGCACAGTAAACTGCAGCCTTGTATACAGCACCACCGCACAACAGTGAGGCAACACACTGGCTCTAGCACTCAGGCTACACAATCTGCAGCCTGGTATACAGCACCACTGCACAGCAGTGAAGCAACACACGGGCTTTAGCACTCAGTCTACACAACGATTGTTGGGAACAGCCCTTGCTCAGCACAGCACGCATTCCGGGGTTAGGAGCTATCCTGTAGAGGTGAGTAGGAGGTTTAAGGACTTGGGGAGGGTTTATGACAGCGGGCTGAGGAGCAGAAGGCTGAGACTCCTAATAAGGAATGCTGGTCAGTCTCTCGTGTGTTGGGGGGAAGGGCATCCACGGTTGTTTGAGGGGAGGATGGACGGGGCAAGTAATTACGATTGTATGTGTCGCTTCGTAAAAGGGAGGTCAGTCAATCCCCTCCTGGAGAGGGTAATCAATGCTGCCTCCTGTTGTGTCCCCATTTCAGATAGAACAGTAATCGAACAGGGGGGCTGCTGAAACAGGGGTGCTCCTAAAAAGGGAAGGGCGATACTAGCAGCTCCACGGGATGACGGAGTCCCAGGTTGGTTGAAAAATAACCACAGCCTTAGGAACAACAAACCTCAATCTCAGTCCTACATGATGTATCAATGGGACGTTGGACCCGGTTTCCAGCAGGTGCCGCTCCCCACCAATAGATGGAGCAGCCCTACAGATAAGCCTTCAATTCTGACGGTTCTCTTACCACCGCCACGATAGAGGGATATCGTAAGGGCCTTTCTTTCAAAAAAAAAAATAATAATAATAATAAAAAGAAAAAAGAGAGTTAGTGGTCCGCTTTTGGGCTGGCTGGCCCCGTGATGTCTCAGCCGTCAATGGGACCACCTACCTTTTGAGAGGGACGCCAGGCCCGATTCCTAGCTTATTGTAATATACGAAGCTACACTGGGTGGCCCTCCCGGTCCCTTTCTAAAACAAAAAAGAAAAAGGAAATTGCAAAATTGGGTTTTGTGTATTTGGTCATCCAGCTCTTGCCAAGAAGATTGTGTTCAGGTACTCCTCAATTGGGGAGGGTTTCCCGCTGGCAGCAACGGAATAGCCCCATGAAAACCATCATTGGCTGTGAGGTACGAGTCACTATGGAGAACCCCACCACCTCTTCTTCTTTTTTTATCTCCAAAATGCCAAAAACCCAAAAAAAAAGAAAAAACAAAGGGAAAAAAAAAAGGATTCCTGCCACCTCTCACAGTCTTGTTTCCGCTTCCGTTCCTCCAAGTCTGCCAGTTGGTATCTTCTCCTAAGAAACATTCAGACATCCAGACCGTACAACTCTGGCAA